TTTTGGACTTTGATGTGGAGTGTCAGTGGTCGTCGGAAGCCGCCGTGCGTGCTACGCAGCGGGCCCTGGCCAAACTTGGCTACAAGCGCGGTAAAAAGAAAAAGAGTCTCGGACTTCGAATGTGTGCTGCAAATATTCAACATCGTGATTTGTATGTGTCTGAAATGAGTGCTCTTCTGGAATGCAGTGTCAATAGACGACCCATTATATACTTGGATGAAAGCTATATACATCATCACTACAGTCGTCACGACGATTCGTTGTACGATCCAAGTGATGATCTTGATATTGAGGTCAAAGAAAAGCACAAAGGTGAAAGATTTTGTTTTATTGCTGCAATTTTGGACAATGGCTGTATGGAAAGTAAACTTCTTTGTTTGGACATTTTTCAAGGGGGAAAACGAACTGGTAGGCCTGAAACAAAGGACTATCATGGGATGTTTGACCATGCATATTTTGTGAAGTGGTTCTCCAAACTTCTCAGTGAAATAGAAGAGCTTGGATTGAGCAATGCTGTCATAGTAATGGTGAATGCAAAATACCATAAAGGTTTTCATCTAGATACACCGAAGTATGGTCAAAAGAAGTGTGTCCTACAGAATTCTTGCACGATGTTCGGAGTTCCTTTCACAAATGAGACAAAGGCTGAATTATGGAAGAAGTTGAAAGTACATGTCGACAAAATCGACATCGAGGTAGTTGCTATGGCCAAGGCCGCTGGCCACCAAGTCGCCTACACACCACCATACCACAGCGACCTCCAACCCATCGAAACTGTGTGAGCAATTGTAAAGTGCCAGGTATCCTACACACTGTCGTCGCCCTATCATGATGTGATCTAATGCAATGTTAGGTTGGACGGCAGTACACTCAAGAGACGACGTTTCAAGATGTCCGCTTGCGGCTCGTCGAAGATTTCGACGAGTTGAAGCCAAGCAGCATCAAAGGCTGCATTCACAAGGCCGACCGGCAGCTCGAGAGGCTGGCCCAGTACATCAAGGACCAAGAGGACAACGACGACGACAGCGACAGCGACGCCAGTAGCGATAGCAGTGATGACTCCAGTGGCTCTGCATCTGATTAGTACTGTAACATGTCACCTTTGTTTTGATTGGTCAATCTTAAGTATCCAGCTGATCTGATCGTTGTAATTTTATCGTGTTTTACAAAAACTCCTTGAAAGTCGATAAAAATTTGAGAAGCCCCCTCCAAGCTGTCGACTACTGTGATGTGGCTGTCGTCAAACAATACCAAACACATTATTACTGATACTTAGTTTACCATTATCCTAATGTTTTGATGGTATTATCCTATCACAATCAACTGAGGTGCAGAAGTTGTAAGAAAAATTGCCCTTTGGCTGAGCAGTTTGGTGCTCGCTATATTGTGTCCCCAGTTTAGCCAAACTGTATCATTCTGATTCTCGCAAGGTATTGAATACCAGGACGATATTGTTTTCATTAGAGTGATTTTGCTACTGGAATATTTCCAGTGAAAGTTGCCAGTGGGGCAAACATATGCTCTCACTGGCAATTTCACACAAACAATTTCCAAGTAACAGCCATCTCACTGGAAACAAGTTTTCACACTCACCAGTCGTTGTTTTGCCAATGCCTGAGCAACAGGTGGGAACACTGGTTGGAACAACAAGTGCCAAAACGAAACCAGCGCATAGATTCACGCTCCATCAGGACGTCGATCTCCTCAAAGAAGTCATATTGCACGCGACTCATGGGAGTTGTCGTTGAGGGCAGCCAGCATGGCAAGCAGTGGAAGTATGTTCTCCATGATGTCACCTTGAGTGTGAAAAGTTTCGACAGCAAAAGCATAAAGTTTCGAGAATTTTCCAGCTTATCTCACTGGAATGTTTCAAGTATGAATTCTTGTAGCAAAATCACTCTATTATATCGCAACAAGGAAATCATTTCTCTCAATCATTAATAAAATTAAAACATACTTTCTCAGTTCCAATTCATTGCATGCGGTCGGGAATATTACAACTGGGGTGGTTATTCATCCACTCACAATACGAGAAATTTCTGGTGCATTGTTTTGAACGACAGTGGACGGTCGGCGATTTCGCGCAAAATTGTTCAGAAAGACCGTTAGGCGTGCCCCTGCAAAATACGCACCCCTCGTGAGAGCATGTAGGATTGGTTTGCCAGAAGCGAAAACGCAGCGTTGTAATCTTTTCCAAATTGTATGACTAGCTCAGTCAAAAAATGAATAAATATTGAGGAGATATAGTACATACATCAAGACAAAATACAAAATTATATTATGATTGTTCAGGACAATGAGAGATGATCTAACAACAAGTGTCTCCGCGCAAAGTCCGTCGTGTCTGCAGCCGAGAAATGGCTGACCATAATACATCGAATGATTGCCGATGGGGATGAAACACATTGCGAGGTTATCAGTCCCTTGTTTACGAAGGCCCTTTCCCAGTGATGGTAGGGTGTCTTGAAGTATCAACTCATTGTGAAAGCACTAGTAGCACATTAAAGTTGGTCGCAACAATTTGGTCGTGAGAATTCGCTGTCGAAATTCCACAATTTTGAACATCAGCAACGCAGTCCTCATCAGCTCAATATGTTCAACGGAATATAATTCACCGAAAACCAACCTCGAAATATTATTGCCATTACAAATTTCGAGATATTTATCTTTATCTAGTACCACGGGGGAAGGATATTCGTCGTTCCCTGTACCACAGCTACAGTGGCAATCAACATTGGGTTTACTGGAAACTCATATAATATTTACACATCAATAACTCACTAGTTCTAAATTCTGAATCAAGAAATGATCTGACAAGATCCGAACAAAACAGCTTCCACATTAGAGGGCATACGATACCTTCGCAAACTCCATTCACAGACAAAAGTTTCTGTCCTGATAACATCTTTGTCGATGGAGGGTAGGAGCGGTGTCTGCTCCACCTTGAACAAAAATAAAAGCAATGGCATGAATTCACAAAGTTTGATATGCTAACATGCAATTCTACCTTTCGTTGATCGGGGCAATAACGAGACTTATCATAAATTTTGAGCATGAAAATCTAGGGTGTCCACCGTCGCCTTTGAGACATGTCTGGTGTGAATTGGTCGCATTTGCACGACCTCATAATCGACTTCAGTGAACATATGCCTACGGCACCGATGTGCAAACACTGCAATAAGAGGTCAGTGCAATTGTGAATCTCTAAATAATTACATGCACTGAATGATTAATAGCTCACGACTCGAGGTGCGTAGAGGTTCTTGGCATAGACTTATATACTACATTGTGCATAAAACAGAGCTACGTAACGACCTCTCTTATGAGTAGCCTTGGCGTATGTGGCAAAAGAGCATGAGGTCAGCTTCAATACAACTCTTTGGCACTGCCTATAATTTGCAAATCGAGACAAGATATATTCGATGTCTTCAGCACTAACCTCTCTCAAGTCCATGTAATATTGCGCAATTCATATAAGTTTGACGAATTAGACACTACATATGGCAAGCGCGTTTTGGAACATCAACATCGAAGCATTAGCCCGGTCGTATCAGTGTGACTTACGAAACACGAAACCATAAAAATATGGAGTTACGAAACAACGTGTTTCGAAAATATGTAAATCAAGCTGTCTTAAAGTATGTGTGCTTCTGGAAATATGCAACCAAATTTTGGTTGAACAAAACCGAGTTATCTAGAACGGTTCTGCCGTAGGTGCAAAATCTTCACTCTGGCTGTGGCGCCATGGCCAGTCGGAGCTACTTGGCGATGACCGCAAAGAGAATGCTAAGGAGGCCGATGCGATTGTGGAGCAGGCGACGACATAGTAGCTCTCCGCGTGGTAAGCAGCACGAGGAGGCAGTACGACATGACGTTTGCACTATTCAGCGTTGGTCGGAAAAGGATCGCCCATCGTGTGGTTGGAGGAGCTATATTGCTATATTTCTGCCCCTTGGTGTGTTGGTATGTAAGGCCATGTTACAGCATCTAAGAATTCTCCGCGGCACCGAATGCATTCCACTCCAATACAACTCGTTTGCCACCTTAAGTGTCGTCCAGAGCGCAATAAGTATCTCTACATTGAGCCTGGAGTAGCAATATTAACTGCCTCAAAACAATGATGACAGGTAGCACAATAAGCTTCTCAAACGACCGACATGTGGAGAGTGTGCTGGATGCAAAGGAAAATGGCCCAACTGCGTTCGGTTGGTGAAATGAAGTTAACCAAGGGCAAAGCACCATTGTAATGTTCAGGTCCACATGAATGGATTTTTGGATTGTTGATTTTGCATTAGTATACCCTACATATTTGGCTCAGCAAACGCTTACTTCTACGCGGAACCACAATTTTTGTGCATGACGTCACACTCGTTCCTGGTGCATTGCTGGAATCTGATGGCACGTTTGAAATAACCCCATCGATTAGTCTGGAGCATGTGACATGGCGAGGTAGTATTGTAATTAGCCGCTTGGCTTAACTGCATTGCTTTCCTTAGGTGGTGTGCTCTTTATTGTGTTTGGACTGGCAAAAACGACAAGGCTGGAGAGATGCGCTACCCACGTCGTAAGTACGCCAACCCCACAAGCTCTATGAAATCTGTCCGATATTGACGTATTTCATGTTGAGAATGGACTTGCAGTAAATTGCGAATATTGCATGTAGTTTAGCGACATGCCATTTGACACATCCTCCGCGCAGTACAGGAGACAGCTCAACGCTATTGTTCGGGGCGAATTTCAAAGAGCAACTTTCGGTGTAGCTGACGACGACGTGTGTGTGCACTGTCGCGACGAGATGCTGGCGTTAGGTCTTTCCACCACGGTAATCGGGTGTCATTCGTTCCAGAAAGGTGTAGCATCTGAGCTAGCAAATTGCCCCGGCGGTCCACAGGTGATATCGACTTAGTTGCGTGCGGGTTGGAATTTAGGCAGTGCGTAGAGTCGTATATCAACCAAGGTGCCGGTGGAGGTCAATACGTGGGATGTGCCGAGTTCTCCATTAGAATGCGGTCAATTTTGTAGGTAGGACTCAACGTTAAGACATCCTTGCCTCCCAGCCGCCCCACCTCGATGGTGCTGCTTTGTTGGCAGTTCAGTGGGACGCAATTTCCCTGGTTTTAATACGTCTAATCTGTCACACTTCACTCTGCCGTTCCATTCCTCTTGCGCCGCTCGTGTACCACTGCCAATGGATCAAGTTCACGCTTGCAGTCGACCAGGCACTGTTTGTTGCATCTGTAGACGAACGGCACGATCCAGTAACTCGCCCCACACATCCTCTCTGACATTCTCGAGAACAAGACGTCTGGACTGGTGGTAACTGGAATCCCACCACATATTCCCTTGTCCCTGTAAAGTCAATCGTTCAAAATTTCTAGATTGAAATGAACAAAATGTTGAAAAATTTTCCAGAGGAAATCGGCACAGAATTGCGCGAGCACATACAGAGCTCTTGCGGCGATCCAGTTCCAATGGATGTACTCAAAAATTCATTACAAGTGTTGGCGATTCGATGCTACGAAAGATCGAATCGATGATGTCGCGTGCAACGAATTGCGTGGCCCACAGGCCCAGGCTAACACCCAACGAATTCCTCCGCTAATGAATGGTGTGCTTATACGCGTGGCTTGCAATTGTCCAATTTTTCGTGCCACTAAAGGAAAAGTTTTTGACGAACCTTTGATGAGAGGGGAACCCAGTGAGGATGTACCGCATTCGTGCATGTACTCCAAAAATTTTACCTCAAGAACGGGGTAATCCAACTTCTCCAAGGCGAAAAGGTGATTTTTGCCCTCCTAGCTGATACAACCTTGTCGAGGCAACAGATCATGGCCATGGACATACCTGGGCGACACAAGTTGTTTTACGACTGCTTGCCTGCGTTGTGCCACAGCCTCCTTGGAACGACGAACGCAGCGGATACTGCAGAAAGACAACGGCAAAGTCGCACCAAGCAGGCGAACGACTCCCTGTTTGTTCTGATATTTGAAGCATCCTGGCGTCGGCGACGAATTCGACCAATTCATGTCCATTGGTACTATTGCCACCAACAATGGATTCATTCATGTCCTGTAGTGGAGGTCGGGGCAATCCGATTCACCCTTAGGGCTTTACCAGTTGGCCATGGATTTCATCGGGATGCCAGCAACATCAACACTGCTGGATTGCGCAATCAACGCAGCTGGCCGTGAGGTCACGAGCACAAGGGAGTCGCTGTTGCCCTTGGTATTCACCATAGCCATGTGCCTGCACTCGTAAATAAACGCCAGTGTCCTGGACATCGGGAGAATGCGGTGGCGGACCTCGGCAGAATGGGGACGGATAGAGGATGTCGTAGTGCTTCTTGAAGAGAAGCATGACGTTTGGGATGATGAAATCGTGGACGACAGGGTCGTTCGGTAGCTGAACGGTCGGTCCGTTCACTGACCTGTTTTACGCGGCCGACATGCACGAGCTCAACAACTGAGCTCAATCACCAATGGACCATACTCAAGACGCTTTTGCCGGAAATTACTGTGTGATGACCGGTTTAACGGGGAATAGTAAAAGTAGAAACCTTCCTTATGGGCTAAAGAACAAGTTAGGTAAAGGTGCAGCCAAATTTATTACCCGGAACCCTTTTACTCCACCTTGCCGAGGCTAGTTAATTGTTGATTTCATGCTGTGAGAGCATTGATCTGCACATGATGCAATTAGGATGGTTGGAGTGGCAAACCTTGGTCTGGTTGGTTCATTCGCAGCAGTAGCATGAAGTGGGTGCATTAATTGAAGTAGATAAACTCGAATGTGCTGTGGTGGGCTACAAGCATGAGAATGAAATTTCATGTATTATCAAAATTGAAAAGAAACGACAGCTGTGAGATTTGAACTCACGCGGGTGACCCCAATAGATTTCTAGTCTATCGCCTTAACCGCTCGGCCAAGCTGTCTCCGATTCCATGGCGTCTTCGTGGGCCAGCAACTCGCCCCCGACTACCAAGTGCAGCTGATCAACGATCGCTACATGGCAGCCTTTGCGCACTGGAGCTGCCGCGCACGCACCATTCAAGGCCGCCGTGTGCTTGCAACATCGGTCATCCTGTCCACACTCTGGTACATGACGGCCGTCACGGTGATCCCGGCGGTGTACGTCAAGGTGTGGCAGCGCATGCTCAACAACTACGTGGTCGGTGCCAAGACTTCGATCACGGACAAATACCAGCCGCCCATTCACAAGATGTGGCTCCATGATCGACAACTCGGTCTCGGCGTCCCGTGCATCGCATCGACCATTCGCGGTCAGCGTTTGCGTTTACTCCAACGCTTGATGGCCGCGACGACATCGAACGAACCACGCGTATGGTCGTCGCTCGTCCTTGCGCAGTTTGAGTCCTGCATGCAGACGGCATGGCGCACGACACAACCGTTCGACTTTCTCTGCTACACGCCCCAGATCGCGTCCGCTTGGCTGAACCTGGACGCGCTTCATCCGTTGTGGCTCGACGTGTGGCGTGCTTGGTCACACGTGCCCATGAAGGATCGGATGCCGCTCCTTCCCGACTTGCCTACGACGCTCAGCATGCCATTGTGGCTGACGACGTACCATGAATTCGTCCAGCCGTCGAACAAGACCGTCTCGTCGCTGGCCTCTGGATCAACACCGGCGCGTCTATGGTGTCAACTCGGCGTCAGCAATGGTCTTCGCTGCCTGCGTGACTTTATGCACGCCAACGTGCCGGGCTACTGGCCCGACTTTCGGGCGTTCCACAACATCATGTCCTCTGGCTACCGTGGCGCAACAGTATCGCTCCAGCACGGTCAGATCTGCTTCGACACGGTACCGTACACAAAGTCGGTGTACGACCATCTGACACAAGTCTACGACGCCGTTCGAACTCGTTTGAGCATTCGGCGTGACGTGTCCCTGACCAGTGTTCCTACCGCGGCACATCCGTTCCGAGCCGTGATCAAGAACCAGCTACTGCTGTTCGAGCGGTGGCCGCGTGGCATTGTTGCCGCCATGGCCCAGCACAGCCCGATCCCAACCGCGCCGCACCCAACGCACACACCCGAGCGACCGGGCCACGACGCCGCCAAGACGTACACGCGCCTCCTGAAGCGATGTCTCCGTTGGACGACACCCGTCCACTGCGACGTATGGTTCCGGGCTACTCTCATAATGTTGCCAGTCAACTCACGGTACAAGCACCGACCCGATGTCGATCGAGCGGTCCTGCAGTGTTCGCACGGGTGTTCGGCCGACGAGACCATCGAGCCCGCCTTGCACGCGTGTCCGAAGGCATCGGCGCTCTGGACACTCCATCAAACCGCCTGGTCATGCTTCGGAATCGGCTTCAGCTGGCTCTGCATCACGAACATCGACGGATTCACGACCAACGGTCGTGGCGCACCGCACATGTCGGCGCTGTTCTGAATGAATTGCTTACTCCCAAAGTAATTTGACCTGCTCGTCGCATATTGTTGCCTCCCTTGTGGGACGTCAATGCATACCTAACACCTATGAGTCATCGCTGATAAGCATCAATTAGAATGGGAAATGGTCCTCTCTTGAGCCCAGAAGAGCGCGCGTCCATCTCGGCTTTTCGACGCTGTGGTCTTTCACTACGGCGGATCGAAATCGAGATGGGACGCAGCAAAACAACTATTGCTGCATACCTTAAAGACCCCGAGGCCTATGGCCAACGTTTTCAAGGAATGAAAAAGTTTGCTCTTGTTGGCAGAGAGGAACGCCTTCTTCTTCGTGAGGCCTCCAACACTGGCCAATCAGCGAGAAGACTCAAAACAACTCTCAACATTTCAGCCTCTCTTCGCACAGTTCAACGACGTCTTAAGGAGGCCATCAACCTCAAGTATGAAAAGCGATAGCACACCCCAAAACTCATCAAGGCCCACATGGAAGCCAGGGTCAAGTACGCCAAAGGCAACCTCCGAGAGTCACCCAATTGGACTGAAATCATTTGGTCCGACGAGAAAAAATTCAATCTAGATGGACCAGATGGTTTTCAGTACTATTGGCATGACCTTCGGAAAGAGCCTGAAGCGTACTTGACCCACCAAAAAGGCGGCGACGGAGTCATGGTATGTGTCGAAAATTCAACTTGTACCACAATTCATTGTCGCATCTCAATATCATGCTTTTGTGTAGTCGAGAAATATGCGAGCCGAATGTGGCTCGCCACTCGACTTTTCTGTTCTATCGCTTCCTCAAGGGTATCACCTCCAACTATAAGATTGTTTCGCGAAGTACAAGCTTGCTGAAGGTTGAAAATGTTCGTGTCCTTAATTGGTTGGCGCGCACTGTAGTAGTTAGGATGAAGTGCTGTAGGTACTTGAAGCTTTGTAGTTGTGACGCAACAATGACTCTTCTGAAATATCCAGACAGCTTGGCCGAGGTGTCAAAGGATACTGCATTACTAGAATTATCTACCAACGCTAATCTTGCTGAAGCTCAATCCAGTTCTAGTGCCAGTGCAGTGCAGGACTACATGGGCGGGCTAGACCTTGGGAAAGGGTGCATGCGTCGACGCACGCGGCCGATGGCCTAGTGGACGTCGAAGGTCGTGTCGAGCGCCAAGCACCGCGGATACTTGGCGTGGAGGTCGCGGTAGTTGGTTTGGCGCAGCAGTGTGACTAGAGCAGCCTGCACGGCTGCGAGCTCGGCGTCGTCTGGGACTTGCAGACGCATCCATCGTCGAACCGATCGCAGCCATGTGACGAACGAGACGTCCAGAATGACGTGGGCCGGGGGCATCGCGCGGTTGCGGTGCTTGGCGTGGTTGCGCTGGGTCCACAGCAGGTGCAAGCTCACACCCGTCAGCATCACCCAGAGCTTGAACAGCGCCGACATGTGCGGTGCGCCACGACCGTTGGTCGTGAATCCGTCGATGTTCGTGATGCAGAGCCAGCTGAAGCCGATTCCGAAGCATG